ATACTTAAGACCAGCATCGCTCGCTCGGTGGTTTTAAAATGAACACGAGCAATGCCCCGGTATGCCCGAGAGTGGGGTGGGCCCGCCGTCCTCTCACACGGCCACGCGTATACAGACTGCCAGGGAAGTTCTACTCACTGCCTTCTCGTGGCGGGGGTGTTTACGAAAAGTGAATATATGGCGCTTTAACCGGATCCCAAACCAAATCAATGGTGCACATGTGCTCCAGTATCTTGAGGGAAAAAATGGCCTATGAACCAATCGTTCGTCACAGGCTACCATGGGACTGCATCTCCTTACGATGCTCCACTGGCTTGTGGGTCAGACCTTTAGGTCAAACGCTCGGGTGTGGCCTCCTAAGAAAACCACCTGCTCCGGTCTGGGAACCCGGGCAGTACCACAGCCCACACACAAATAAAATGAGAATGACGATATTTACTGGAAATCCTATTCACGCCTCGATAAACAGTCAAACAATTCACATTATTATTATTTACCAAGTCATTTATTCACACTCTGTGTATCCTTATCTTTCGACTCATGCAGCAACTATGGTGGAAACTCGGTTCTATCTAAACGTTCTCGAGTCACTGACTGGTTGAAAATTGAATGCTACCACCAAATACGAATACTGAATCAGTTTTTGTGAAACCACGTGCACCATTCAAACTGGCTGCCTTCAACGTTCGCACACTCATGCAGGTCGGACAACAGATAGGGCTGGCTATGTCTTTGTAAAGTCTTAATATCGACGTTTGTTGTCTATCCGAGACACATATTCAAGACTCTGGTGAAGTACTACAAATTCGCTCTCCATCTGTCGTTTCAATCGATTGGATCCCCATTAACAGTCGGTTACGTGCTGTCAGATTAGAGTTCCAACAAAGTGAGAAATGATGTCCTTTCGTCATCTCCGCCTATGCCCCGACAGATTGCAATCAAGGATGGATTTTACCGCGGGTTAACTGTTCTCCTCCAGAAAGTGCGTTCGACAGATAATGTAGTACTAGCCGGAGACTTGAATGCTCAGATCGGGCATCTAGGCACAGAAGAGAGTCGTTTAGGTGGGCGACGGGGACTTGTTGGTCGCAGGATAGATAACGGGGACCGTCTACTGCAACCATGCACAGACCACAACCTGTTTCTGGTCAGAACTAACTACCGGCACAGTCATCGCCGATGTGCCACCTGGCATCCTACATCTGCATCTCAAGCCTGGACTCAGATTGATCACGTCGCGATCAGCTACCGCTGGCGTGGTTGTGTCCAAGACTGCTGCCCCTTTTGGAGTACCTATCTGAACTCTGATCATGCCTTGGTCTGCGCCAATCTTACCTTACTTTTCAGTGGACAACGAAGTGACCGCCACCAAAGGACTGATGTCAGCAAGTTGGTTGCAACTAAGTATCGAACCAAGCTAGCCTCTAGGCTAGCTACCATTCCACCGAAAAGTATAGATGAGTATTGGTTGCAATTGCATGACGCCATGAAAATGGCGGGTACAGTCAGTTGTGGGTTCGCGAAACGTCCCGCTTATAAGCACTGGGTTTTTGCAGGTTCCTTACAACTCATTGAAGCCCGTCGGTCTACTCCAAGTGACCGTGAATTTGACCACAAACGACTACTGTTGCGTAATGAAGTTGAGCAAAGCTCGCGTAAGGACCGAGAAGCCTGGTGGTCAGAGCGTGTTAATGAGTTGGAAGCAGCAGCTGCATCTGGTAACTACCGGAAGCTCTAGTAACTCATCCGAGCCACTGGCAGCAAGAAGTCTGGTGGGAGCGAAACAATCTGTGGGGATGACGGGATGCCAATCACTTACATCCATCGACATCTTGGACGATGGGCAGAATTCTTCGAAGGGCAGTTCAACTGGACTGCTGTTTCGGCAACATCGGTCAGACTGTTCTGCTCCCCATGGTCGGTGACGACTGGTCCACCAAATGAGGCGGAATTCCGCAAGGAACTCCAAATCTTGAAGCGCTACAAATCATCGGGCCTAGATGATTTACCTCCGGCCCTTTTTTAAAAATGATGGTGACTTTCTGGTTAGGGAACTGACTGAGTTGTTTACAAAGCTTTGACAGTTAGACAGTGTTCCAACATCATAGAATGAGTCGATAGTTGTCCCTATCTTTAAAAAGAGTTCACTTCGTTTCTGTAACAACTATCGGGCGATAAGTCTACTTCCGAATGTGTCCAAACTGTTGGCTTCCGTCATACTTCGTAGGCTGTTCAAAAACCGAGAAAGATTGACTCGTGAGGAGCAGGCTGGTTTTCGTTCTAGTAAACGATGTATTAACCATATCTTCACCCTCCGCCAAATGTTAGAACACCATCATGCTTATCACACACCAACAGTTGCAGTGTTTCTTGACATCAGGACTGCCTTAGATTCGCTGGACAGGACTGTTCTCTGGGATCGCTTATTGGTGAAGGGTATGCCTGAGAAGTTTATTAACATTTTAAAGGCCCTATATACAAACACCTCAGGCAGAGTGAGGGTATACAACCACCTCTCGCCGTTGTTCCATTCAAGAAGTGAGGTTACGCAGGGTTGCCTAATCTCACCATTCCTCTTCAACTTTGCCATCGATGACATTCTGGAAACAGCACTGATGAGTGTAAGTAATGGCGGTGTGGATCGGCCGCCTGGAGAAAGACTTCTCGACCTTGAGTATGCGGATGATATTGTCTTACTGTGCGATAATGCCCAAGCCATGCAATCCGCACTTAATCAGTTGGCAATCAGTGGCCGTAGGTATGATGTGTGCTTCGCATCTTCTAAGTGCAAAGTACTTTTACAAGACTGGCAGGACTCTGATTCAGCACTCACCCTGGGTAGTGAGCAAATAAAAATAGTCGGGAAGTTCATGTATCTAGGTAGCTGCATAAGTGCTGATGGGGTTGTGAGTGATGAGATCAATGCACGTATAGTGAAAGCCAGAGCGGCTTATGCCAATATGGGCCATCTCTGGCGCCTTCGTGATGTTAGTCTGGCTGTAAAAGGTCGGATCTACAACGCGTCGGTGAGAGCAGTTTTGCTCTATGCTTGTGAAACCTGACCTCTCCAAGTTGAGGATGAAAGACGACTCCCTGTGTTCGATCATCGCTGTCTCCGAAGGATTGCTGACATCCAGTGGCAACACCATGTAAGTAATGCAGAGGTTCGGCATCGTGTGTTCGGGCACAGAGACGATAATGCCATTGGTGTCACCATCTTGAAACACCGACTTCGGTGGCTTGGACATGTTCTACGAATGTCATCCCAGAGAACTCCATGTCGTGCATTATTTGCCGTCGCTGGAACTGGTTGGAAAAAGTGGAGAGGTGGTGAGTATGTGACATGGTGTCGTGGTACGAAAGAAAGCTGCAAAGGACTGGCTTGTGTTGGTCCTTCACGACTCCCTGGCTGGGGTCCGAGAGATGGTGTGACACAGTGGTTAGAGACGTTATCAGATATGGCTCAGAATAGAAGCCAGTGGCGATCCTGCTGTAACCTTCTCTTACTTTCTTCATAGAAAGTGGTTGTATCTTCCTTAACTGAAAGATCTCCTCTGGTTGTACCTTCCCGTTTCCCCTATCATTATTATTATTATTGCCATTACACTACCTTACACTAATCTGTTCGTTATTGTTCTTTTTTATTTTACGCTCCTTACCTCCTTTCTTTTCTCTTCCCATTCTCATTTTTGTTTTGTGTGGCGCATATATAGTTGGTGCCCTCTTGTACCAATATTTGTGTTCAAATAAATAAATAACGTTTCGAATGCATCTATGATTGAACATTATACGAATGTGCTCTACTTAGTGGCTATGTCTCATAACCATGAAGTAGAATAGAGCGAACCACTAAACAATAGTCTCGTTTACTTAGCAGGCGAATATGTCGCCAAATCCACAAGTTGGCAAAATTCAACCAAGCTATCTGAATCCATCTTTTTCCAACCCCCCTCATTAGTCTAACCCTTTCCAACTAACCCACCTGGGATGGCAGGACCTGAAGGAAAAATTACTCCGGTCAATATAAAGCGACTAGGTCATCACAATAGGCAAGTCCGACCAGCACTTCAAGGTAACAACTATGGTTAGGTTAAAACAATACATGAAAAATTATAACTGCCTACCTGTCAATTTCACCTTCATGGGAACAGGATGAATGGTCATCAATTTCATCTTGAAATTCTATTTGACTATGACCATTAGTCGATTGTTGATTCATGTCACTACTAAGAAGAGCATCAGACGAATAGCTAGGTAAGTTGTATAGACAAACACGACCATCACTTCCTGAAGAGAGAACAAGTTGGTCTCGTGTAGGGTGATAGCGTACTGACCAAATCTGTAAGAATGTAAAGATAGCCTATTATTTTGGTTTGTCAACGAAAACACTCAAAATATTCTTACTGTGCTGGAAGACCGAATAAATAAACATATTTATTCATATTTGAAATATCTAATCGAATTAACACAGAAAACTAATTATTATGCATTTGTCCTAAATTAATATAACCCCTACCAACTATAAAGAAATATTACAAGTAATGATAAATAAAAATAATATATTTGTAATACCCCAATGAGTAGAAAATTGGATTTTCTGACGTTTCGTGACTTAGTGTAAGTCACTTCTTCAAAGAATAAATAACCAAATTAATCCAAGTTTAAATAGTACAATGGAACAATGCAAGAATAATATTTGATCAATCAAAAAACAGGTCTGAACAAGTTGATGTCATGTCATTTCTGTCAAGGTGATTCATAAGTGATCTGTATGTAAATTTGTGTGTATGTATATGTGCACTGTTTAAGAATGAAAACTTCTGTGACCTTTATGGTAAGAAAGGATAGAGTTTAAATTTGTAATATGATAGTGTGAAATTGTAAATACGATCAGACTGAATGGCTAGGATAGATGGTCCAAGTAGGATGTATGGTAAGACCTTCCTTTCTATTGAGAGAAGTAGTGCTTCCAGGTTTTCAATGGTGGTCTAGCTTCAACTGACTCATGAGTTCAATCTGTGAAAATTTCTAAAAATCTCCACAAAACACATTCTGAGAAGTAGGATTAAGCATTATATGGAACGCCTCAGCTACCCTCCTTTCTTTGTAGTTGGAAAAGCCTTTTTGCAATATTTTGATATTTTTAAAATCGATTTGGTGGTTGTTGAAAATGGCATGAACTGCTATTGCCGATTTAACTTGAAGTTATAACAATCAACCCACTGCTCAATTTATTCGAAATTATCAAATCAAACCTTGGTAATGACAATTACAAGTAATGGTTGATTGTAGAAAAAAGTAAACGACAGAATATCAGACAAATACGAAATGAATGTTACTCCATATTAATAACACAACTGAACAGTAACGTGCTTGGTACGAAATCAAAAGGCACTGACTTCAGTTCTTCATGAGGTCAGGAATGTGAACTGATGAGGAATCCCATACACGGTCGAAAAAAACTTTGCGAAATGGAAATAACTTATGAGTAGGATCGTTGTGTAATATACATCATTTACCAAGTGTAAGAACTAGGCTTTGAGGCACATTATGTGACTGATGATGTCATCTGGTTCGCCAAAATGAAAGAGAAGTGTCAAAACATGCGATCTGTTGTTTTTAACTAAATTAGCTGCTACGCATTACAGGTATATATACACAAAAATAATTGTTTTTTTCAACATAGATTTCGAAATACGAGTGATTTTATTATCAGCGCTCAGAAACATTTATTGATATTAAAAGATTAGCGGGCATTTATAAATACAAACTACTTGTCATGTAACTCCGCCTGGAGTCCCTCCGGGGGCTACTGCCGGTCCCAAGCCCGGATAAAGGAGGAGGGTTGGGCATGGGGTTAGCGTCCCCATCCCGTAGAAAACTAACTCGCTAAAAAAACGCTAACCAGAAAAAATTATTCAAACCTTTTAAACTCTGCCCTGGGAGTCAGAAGGTCTTCATTTAGAAGAATTATGACGCCTCATGATGAAAGCCGAATTCCTTCGGAAGTTACGAGGCCGATGCCCCTTCTGACAACCAGAGCGACCATTTATTTAGGTACATGGAATGTTCGTACAATGTGGGACACCGGAAGAGCCTTCCAAATTGCTGCAGAAATGAGAAGATACAACCTAGAGGTACTTGGGATCAGTGAAACACATTGGACACAAGTTGGACAACAACGACTAACTACAGGAGAGCTCCTGTTATACTCCGGCCATGAAGAAGAAAATGCACCACATACACAAGGAGTTGCATTGATGCTGTCCAAACAAGCGCAAAATGCACTTATAGGATGGGAATCTCATGGACCAAGGATCATCAAAGCCTCGTTCAAAACAAAGAAAGAGGGCATTTCAATGAACATCATCCAATGCTATGCGCCTACCAACGACTACAATGAAGACGCTAAAGATCAATTCTACAATAGGCTGCAGTCAATCGTCGAGAAGTGCCCAACAAAGGACCTGACCATTCTGATGGGAGATTTCAACGCCAAGGTTGGAACGGACAACACTGGATATGAAGACATCATGGGACGACACGGACTGGGAGAAAGAAACGAAAATGGTGAGAGATTTGCAAATCTATGTGCCTTCAATAAGCTGGTCATAGGCGGCACCATATTCCCACATAAACGCATACACAAAACCACATGGACTTCACCGGATCACTCTACACAAAACCAAATCGACCATATTTGCATCAACAAAACGTTCAGGAGGACTATAGAGGACGTGAGAACCAAGAGAGGAGCTGATATAGCATCAGATCATCACTTGCTGGTCGCCAAGATGAAATTGAAACTCAAGAAGCACTGGACAACGGGGCGGACAATATCACAAAAGTTCAATACGGCCTTTCTCCAGGATACTAACAAACTCAACAAATTCAAGATAGTCCTCAGCAACAAGTTCCAGGCCTTTCATGATCTACTCAATGGAGAAGGAACTACTGTGGAGAGCAACTGGAAGGGGATCAAAGAGGCAATCACTTCAACATGTCATGAGGTCCTGGGTCACAAGAAGCACCACCACAAGGAATGGATCACTGTTGATACACTGGATAAGATTCAAGAAAGAAGGAACAAGAAGGCAGCAATCAATACCAGTCGAACAAGAGCAGAAAAAGCCAAGGCACAAGCTGAATACACAGAAGTAAACAAACAAGTGAAGAGGAGCATCAGAACCGACAAACGTAAATATGTGGAAGATTTAGCAACGACGGCGGAAAAGGCTGCAAGAGAAGGAAACATGAGACAATTGTATGACACGACAAAGAAACTCTCTGGAAATCGCCGCAAACCAGAACGACCAGTGAAAAGCAAGGAAGGCGAGGTAATCACCAACATTGAAGAGCAACAAAACAGGTGGGTAGAACACTTCAAAGAACTCTTGAATCGACCAGCTCCACTGAACCCACCCAACATCGAAGCAGCACCCACGGACCTCCCAATCAATGTTGGCCCACCAACAATTGAAGAAATCAGCATGGCCATCAGACAAATCAAGAGTGGCAAAGCAGCAGGACCGGACAACATCCAGCAGAGGCACTAAAAGCAGACGTAGCGGCAACTGCAAGGATACTCCACATTCTCTTCAATAAGATTTGGGATGAGGAACAAGTACCAACAGACTGGAAAGAAGGACTTCTGATCAAAATACCGAAGAAAGGCGATCTCAGCAAGTGTGATAACTACAGGGGCATCACTCTTCTCTCAATACCGGGAAAAGTCTTCAACAGGGTATTGTTAAACAGGATGAAGGACTGCGTAGACGCCCAACTTCGTGACCAACAGGCAGGATTCCGTAAGGATAGATCGTGTACAGACCAAATCGCAACTCTACGGATCATTGTGGAACAATCAATTGAATGGAATTCATCACTCTACATCAACTTCATTGACTACGAAAAGGCATTTGATAGCGTGGACAGAACAACACTATGGAAACTTCTTCGACACTACGGCGTGCCTCAGAAGATAGTCAATATCATACAGAACTCATATGATGGATTACACTGCAAAATCGTGCATGGAGGACAGTTGACAAAGTCGTTCGAAGTGAAGACCGGTGTTAGGCAAGGTTGCTTACTCTCACCCTTTCTCTTTCTCCTGGTGATCGACTGGATCATGAAGACGTCAACGTCTGAAGGGAAGCGCGGGATACAATGGACATCTAAGATGCAGTTGGATGATCTAGACTTCGCAGATGATCTGGCCCTTCTATCCCAAACGCAACAACAGATGCAGGAGAAGACGAACAGTGTGGCAGCAGCCTCAGCAGCAGTAGGTCTCAATATACACAAAGGGAAAAGCAGGATTCTCCGATACAACACAGAATGCACCAATCCAATCACAATTGACGGAGAAGATTTGGAAGATGTAAAAACCTTTACATATTTGGGCAGCATCATTGATGAACAGGGTGGATCTGATGCAGATGTGAAGGCGCGGATCGGCAAAGCAAGAGCAGCATATTTACAACTGAGGAACATCTGGAACTCAAAGCAACTGTCAACCAACACCAAGGTCAGGATTTTCAATACAAATGTCAAGACAGTTCTACTGTATGGGGCAGAAACCTGGAGAACTACGAAAGCCATCATCCAGAAAATACAGGTGTTTATTAACAGTTGTCTACGCAAAATACTTCAGATCCATTGGCCGGACACTATTAGCAACAACGTACTGTGGGAGAGAACAAACCAGATCCCAGCGGAGGAAGAAATCAGGAAGAAGCGCTGGAAGTGGATAGGACACACATTGAGGAAAGCACCCAACTGCGTCACAAGACAAGCCCTCACATGGAATCCTGAAGGTCAAAGGAAAAGAGGAAGACCAAAGAACACATTACGCCGAGAAATGGAGATAGACATGAGAAAAATGAACAAGAATTGGATGGAACTAGAAAAGAAGGCCCAGGACAGAGTGGGTTGGAGAATGCTGGTCAGCGGCCTATGCTCCATTGGGAGTAACAGGCGTAAGTAAGTAAGTAAGTAACTTGTCATGTAACCACTGAGTGGATGGAGTATTGTTTTCTATAAAACCGTGAGACAATTTTTGATACATTGGACACCATAACAACATTAAAATTATGATTTAACCATCAATGCCTCTGAAATATCACTCAGTTATAATGGGAGCTAGTAAATGAGAGATAAATGAATCATGATTTTTAGCACAAAAGATAAACTAATATTTGTGATTATGGGTTTATATTGTACGAGATAATCGAGAAATAATGTTTACGTATCCAGGCCTTATCTATGGGGACGTACGATAATGGGTGCAGTAAGAAATGAATGGAAACATTCCTAAATCAAGACATAAAAATAAATAACAAAGCTAATGAGCACTAGTCTGGATTGTCTGAAGAACTCTAGACCGATAATTTTAAAAAGTATGGCTGTTGTTAATGTACATACCATCCATCCTTACATTTATAAATCAATTGTGAAAATATTTCTAACAATAAATTACAATCGACTGATCCCATTTTTTTTTAACTTTTTCTCATTTCTCAATGTGCTTTTTTGGATTACTGTAGGTTTTATGTTATCTCGTAAAAATGAGTCAAGTGTAAAGGTAGTGAATGGAACCAAAATAATAAAATTGGTGTCAGGACAGTATTAGTACGTATAGTGGTTAAATGCAAACGAATTATTTGTGGTAAATGTATACTATATTGACGGCCTTGAAGTAAACAATCAGAATTAAAATAGCGTCTCATGGATTTTGCGCGAAATTGAAAGCGTGTTGTAAAATAGCTTGTATATTATTCTTAACTAAATGAAAGTTGATAATATAAGATTGATAAAACGTTTGGTTTTGATTGAAATATCTACCATACACAGTGAATATGACACGGTACTTAAGTTAAATTTCAAGGAATACCTGTTCTTGATATGGATATTGTGTTAAAGTGCTTGGTATGGATCAATGCACAGTCAGTGGTGTTTAAGCAGCTGGATAGTATTTTTCCACTCTAAGCCCTGACTTGCAATATCAACTCTAAAGTAAACAACAATGTTCCAAAGCATTATTGCATTATAGCTGACGTCAGTTAATGATGAAAACATTGACCTTAACTAATAATCCCAATAAATAGTTCTAACTTAACTCTTGTTACCTAGCCTAAGCCTTTATTTAGTAATTACAGCTAACGCCAATTAATGATGAAAACCATGTAAGGTTATAACCTTTACTCGTAAGGCTAATCCAACTAACAATACATAAACATAACCACTTTTCTTTACCACAATTAAAAATCTGACATGTATGGGTCAATCAGTTGTATCAAAACCATTATCCCACTGCTTTTTTATTATTAGCTGTTTTATAACTACACAGTGCTTCCTGATTGGTTGGTAAGTCGACCAAGGTCATCAATATAATATACTTGTATCTTCATTTTTTTGGTTAACTTGCAGTGGTAATAAACGCGTAGTGCGAGATTGATGTGTTTATCGTTAAAAGCTTCAATTCCGAAATAAACTTTTAAAGCTGATGAATCTTACACACTGTCAATAAAATAGAAATATGTGTCATTTAATTGACTTCAAAATATGTGCTAGGAGTGGGACATCGGAAAAGAAACCAACCCAATGAGAGTGAGATGCGATTGCGAACAAAGGCTGAACAGTTGGTTCCGTGCCGTATTGCATAATTCTTTCAGATGCATTTGAAATAGCTGTGTTTTTTGCTGAAACAGCGGCAGTGGTAGACAGACAGCGATATCTTGTGCGTAAATAGCGAAGATCCCAAAGTCTCATGATTCCATCGTCTCCACCGGATACTAACAGATTAGGACGATGAGGATTGTAATCAATGTCTCTAACACATGGCCAATGGGCATTTTCCATCCAGAAACTAGGCCTTTTAGGAAACAGAATATTTTTACACAGTATATTATTTTTTTAACTACTGACTGGTTGTTCTTATAAACATAAATTATAAATACAAAATATCTGGAATGATTTGATCAACAATTTCTTCTTAAATTAGCTACTAACATTCACCGTTCCGATATGAAAATAGATCAGACGTCTAATTTTTTGAACATATATATATTACACAACTAGCCTTACTTTCAAGCAACAAAATACAAGACTTAACTGAGACTTAAGTACACTTCCGGTCCATGTCTAATATCACACTCGAATTACAAGTTACACAATCAATTCAGTTATGAAGTTTTGGACAAATATAAAATTTAGCCCATGGTTTACACTTTTGATGAACTGGTCAGTGACTGGCGTATTCTTATACATCACTAGTTTACATGTCTATGCCTTTCAAATTCTCAACTAAACACATCTAAGTCAAATAATGGATCGCTGAAATCAATAAACGAGATGAACTTACTTCATACATCGAACATCCCATCCTAATATACCATTATCAAAAGCTATTGCAAGTTGATTTGAATGTTCATGTGGAGACCAACGAATAGCGTTAGGTGATGCAGTAGTCGATAAACAACCAGTTGATGACTTCATATTTGTACGTAAACTATCACTTGGAGATGAAGGTGGTAAATATAACTGTACACTTGTACTGATTTGATAATCACTAGAATTTGAATTTGATGAAGCTTGAAGTATGACTAAATAGCTTGTCGTTGCAGTGGTTACGAGGGAAGAATAAGCAGCTGAACTGTAAATATATTGCAGGAAATATATAAAATAAACAAAACAGTCTATAAGGAAAAGTTTGTGATCATACAATTTAAAAAGTTTATATCATGAGCTAGATTTGAGTCAAAAACCACGAAAAACCAACGGCACTGGACAGCTATTTCGCTCTAGTATTAGACTTATTATGTGCTACATATTACATTGCAATGGATCAAACCTAGAGACCTCAGGCTTGTAATAATGATATTGCATTTAGATCACTGAGCTGATATTAAGTGATTACCATTTTCAACTTCATTCAATTCATGAAACTGTGTGTTCACTAACCTCTGTCGGTAACAAATATAGGGAAGTAAATTGGTATAAAGATTCATAAAGAAAATGACAAGATAAAATACACCAAGAGTAAAAAAATTACTTACCCAGGAATTTCAATAGGTGGTCCGACAACACAGGCTAAATCACAGCACGTACTAGACGGATGTGATGTAATCCTGTAAATTAAAAAAATGAAGGGACTTACAAGTAGACTAAAAACATTTTAAAAAGTTATAAGACCCTTGGGTCAACCGCCAGACTAGAATGGTGTTCGAAAGTGAATTCTTGTAATGATCAGAACTAACAATCGTACTGAACGAAATCAAGGTTAAGATAGCAATCTACAAATAAACTGTTTGTTACTATCCTAGTGTTATGAATTTAAGTTGTGGTCGACTTTTACCCTGTGCTAATTGTTGTGTCCTTGACTGGAAAATTAGAGAGCAGCGTACTTATCGATCGATTCAATGACACGTAAACACGTACGGACGGCCTAGAGTCTCTATTGGTCTCGCTTCCCTGTCTAGCCCAGTCAGTTGAGTCCAGAACACAAGTCACAGCCTCGGAGATATGAATCATTGTATTTCAGACATGCTCTATTTATATACCAAACAAGCAAACCACATCGTACCATAAAAATAGTAAACAACATTTACACAATATGTAACGAATGAATTAAATAATAGCCAATAGGGAATGTACATTTAAAGTCCAAGGACACCATTGGACTTAACATGATAATTATTGGTCTACTATTCTGTATCCACAACACCTAGGTAAGTCATTAACCTAACAGGCGGCCGACGAAGTTTCAATCGCTGACGGTAGCATGTGGCGGTCTTACAAATGACATTCAAACTTCTAACAGTTATTGATTACTGTTTTTCATAACGTAAGTTAACCAAAACTGGGAGAAGGAAACGATTGACTACTCGGTCAATTATCAGATCATCTGGGAACATGAAAGTATAACGTCAATGGTTTAGTAGAGCATTATCTCATATGATGAAAGATAGCGTACAACTATATTGGATGGTGTTTTGTTAACTAGGACGATTGACAAATCCTAACACCAATGTAAGAAGGATGAACAACTCAACGACTATTGAAGAAAGTTTGATATTTCTGTCTTTAAGCCAAATGAAGAGTGAGAATTACGAGGATAATATAGTCATAGATGAGTTACCAATTTGATACCATCATAGATATCAAATTATATTTAAAATATCCTGCAGAAATTAAAATCATATCATGATGACATATCCAGGAAAACAAACTATCATTAGACTATGAATTTCATATAATTATTAGACTAAAAAGATTTGATTACAATTGGATTGTTTATTATAATTTGAGTAGAGTGTAGGATTTGAAGGTCGCAGGTTGGAATATGGTGGCGAATCGTAGAGTTCCTAAATACATGGTACACCCAATTAAATTTGTATGACACTTCGCTGAACATTACTGAAGTCAATCTAGCCCATGTGGACTAGTGATTTGGAATCAGGGTTTTCTAACTCCTTTAGGTGAATCCTCCATATCCACTAACCCGGTTAAAGCGCTAGACATTAGTTTTCGTCCTCTCAATTTCGTAAGAAACACGCCCGCCACGAGAAGGCAGTGAGTAGGACTTCTCTGGCAGTGACTGTATACGTATGTTCATGTGAGAGCATTTCGAGAGACAGAAAGAGAGAGCTGACTCTCCCCACTCTCGGCCGTAGCAGGGCATTCGGGGCGTAAATACTTATGGCTTAGTGACAACATCAAAGCAATCCGCTCAACATGTAAACATACCAAAAGAGACTGATCAAAATCCAGTCCTTAACATTAACAACTGGAAGATTCCAACAATTACGTATAAACAGTAAGATTCATCTACGTTGTACAAACCAGTGGCTATCTAGACTAAGTAGTTTAGCTAGTAACGCATCAGACGTTCAAACTGGACAGTATTAGACTCGTCACAATGTGAACATCAACACCGTGATGCAGGTACACCCAGTCGACGAGTCCCAAATAGAAAGAAGTAGGTATACTGAATCCCACTGCTAGCCACTACCTATCTTTATTTAAATAAGTAGATAGCAAAAATTTATCCCCAGATGGTAAAAAGACGAAGGATATTACTGATAAAAATTAATTAGAATAACTTGAATTGAAAAATGTCTATACCAGATGTATGATAACTTAGTTCGTACGTAAGTTAGTAGCGCAAAATTCACAGGCATTGATTTCACTTAAATTTTTTTCAATGATTCAATTAAATAATCTTAGAACCGCTCATAATTTCCTATTTCAGATAGATAGGGTTAAAAATTAGTTTATAATTACAATTTAATGATAATATAAACCCATGCATTCAATATCATAAAACTGATACGTTTTCGTTAAACAAAACAGAAAATATTTACCTTTTGATGCTATGATATTTATCTAATGGTAGTGTAGTTACATAATCCAATGAATTATTCGCCGTAGATGAATTATTGTTATCTACTGGTGATTTTGATAGATTTGATTCAATCATAGCATCGTCTAATAAATTTTCGTTAAGATTAGGTATTCTCCAAAGTCGAGCACTATTACGAAGTTCTGGTCGTTCATTCGAATCTAAGTAATATAAACAAAGCAAATTAGGTAGGATATTCTTGTGGTATACAGTATGATACATATAATAAAAATGGTTAACTTAACCATTTGGTTCAGTAATTCACTTCTATGTGTTCAGTTTCGTGTTAGTTGACAGTAATTATTTGTGGTATGTTTTTTTTAATGCGCAATGAAACACTTGATCCTTATTAGCTAAATTTACTGGAATATTTTGGTGACTATATCTGAAATTTTAAACTAGATTCTATTTTCATTTATTGAACATCTGGGTGGATGTTATTTGCAAATATTGCACCAAAAATAAAACTACGTACAGGTGCGATTAATACAGATCCATTGAATGTTCAAAATAGGAAGCACGTGTACTCAACTGAAACTTGAGTTCCAAAAGTATTTCTAACTTATAGCTACATGAAATATCGAGGGATCTGCTCGAGGATTTTATTTGCTAGCAGACACTAATCAGGTGCAGTCCTGAATGCCAACAACAGGAATATACGAAAAAAACGAAAAATTTTTAATAACGAAACGATGTTTATTTCTGTTAAATGTTTGAGCTCATGCATATGAGTCGGTACCAAGTTATCACTCGTATTCATCAGTAATGTCATGCAACTTTGTAACTGGATTCTTAGTCAGTCAGTCAGTAACAACGTAGAACTTCGTACGTACGTACATCAGTTCGAGTTGCCATACCACATTAGCACAGAGATGCAGTGGTCGATTCAAATCCCGTAGTGGTAGAGGTAATAAGAGTATAAGCAGTAATCGGGAAAATTAGCGTTTGCAGATGTTATTCAAAGAGTATAATACAGTGAAATAAATTTGGGAAGAGAAAAAAGAGACAAGGAGGAATAAGGAGATCAAAATTTGGGAGAACTCAAAGAGTGTATGCACCTGCGCCATTGCAAACGATTTTGAGCCATGTCATTCTATTACTCAATTTTGGCTCAAATTTTGTTATGAAGTTTATGAGGTTACGCGAACCGAAGTAAACACAGCAGAGTTCTAACTTGGGGTCAAAGGATTGAAAGTCAAAAGCAAAAGATGAAAAAAAGGAAGGTAACTGGGCGACCAAGTCGTCATTTAGCCAATAAACGATAAGACATCAAACCCAATCACTAAAGATGAAAAATTAACATAGTTGCATTTCACTGAGTTCTTTTTCTGACCTTCGTTTATAACTTTGAAAACAAAAAATCATTTTTAAGTGACGCACTTCGTAGTATGATTCTCTATTCTGTTTACACTACAATAAAAATATCCTAACCTACTATTCTTTTGATGTAGAACCGCTTAACTGTGGGTCCATATTTTAATAAAGGAAATAAAGAGTAGTATCTAAAAGCAATCATTTCAACCCGAAGTTTTGTTTGGAAGGGCTTCAAGTCGATAAATATATGGAATGTTTTAATAGTTGATGGATTTTAGTTTATCAGAACAAAAGAGTTCTCAATAACAAAAATTTTAATCGAAGCCTCAGATTCCAAAGGCTCATTCAACAAAATATTAACACCTTTGTTAAATATGAAAAGCTGCTATCACGAGAAATACTTGTTTCAACTAAATTGGACATAGAAAGCAATCTACTTCCTTGATAATATGGTTCTAATGTAAACTTCAACCATTAGTTTTGTGTATGATGAAAAATCATTAGTATGAAACTACTTGTAACTTCAATAAAACATCTTACTTGCGAGCTGTCCTAACAATAACGGTACATATTTGTACCTAATTCCATATAACAATAGTAAATACCTATCGGCTTATCCTTCGTTAGTTAGTATTCATCTATCATGCCGGTAAACTGAAAAACGTACACCAGTATTATTGTTTGAGTTGAGGGTATAATTAAGAGGTCTGTCGGTATAAGCTTTATTATGAGTCACTCGCTAACCAAAAAATCTTCAAAGCAAGTATCCGTATAAGAAATTCCGTATGCCAACAAAACTTACATGATGCTGACAGTGATATAAAGCAATCTGGTTTAGATGCCAGTGTAACCAATGAAGTAACTTCTCCATTCGGATGTGAAAAAGTCTGTTTTTTTAAGTCGATATCTAATGACTCCACAAGTGTTACCAAAGTGACCTACCAAAAAACGTGGAAAGAAAACAAGCGTAATCAAATACTCGATGAACTGATAATAAATGAGATGGGCTGATTACATACAATTTACTGAATTCTTTACGAAGACGAACAACTAAATAAATATACAAGCGGATAAATTAGCAGTTGTTAGACATTCTTTGAAATCAGAATTCCATGGAAAGTAAATATAGTGAATAAACATGTTTCTTTAATAACTAGGTCCTACGCCAGATAATTGATACTACTCAGTATATGATTGGTTCAATACCAAAATATCACTGCAATGGTCAACTTTTAGTCTGGAATTTAAGCCGCATTTATCACAATGATGTCCAGTTCGACAACAGTATTTAGAAATCAACCATTCAACGACTGAACACCGTTTAAACAATATAGAATTCTTAACGAAGATGAGCTGCTAAGTGAGTTAATGATTCAAGTAATGATAAGAAAAGTGTGTACAATAAGGAAATAAAACGAAATCGAAAGTCGAAGTGAAATAAATCGAATTTGCAAGTGATAAAATAATTATAGTTATAACTTATATAATTAAGGAAGCGAGTGGTTCGTTATCTTCACTGATAATTATCGTTATTTGTTTGAGGGTTGAGATACAGCCTGGATGCCAAAACTGAGGCAGGTGGGTTTCTTATATCGATCTGTCTAGAAAATTTTCTGTCCACCGACAGGAAAGATGAGCTTGGAGCAAGCCAGAGCATGATCACAGTTCAGATAGGCACTCTAAAAAGAGCGAGTCTTTTACATAAGCACATCAGTGCTAGCTGATCTTGGTATGACTAGTCTGAGTCTAAACTTGAGTTTCAGTAGGAGGATCTCAGGTGAAACCGGTTGTGAATGTGCTGGGTAAAATTGGTGATGGTCCATGAAAAGGTGCTGAAGACAGTCATCATTATCTGACTTGTAATCGCTGAGTACCCACTGACTACCCAAGCGACTCTAGTCTGTGTCCAGATCCCCGATACGATGAGCCTCATTAAGTAAGAACTTGTCTTGATTGTATTTTCAGTTAAGTTGTATTTAGAACTAATTACTATCGTTGTTAACGTACTTGATTACAGAACTGTTCTCCCTTTCGTTTAGGTGCAATATTATCATTTCTCTTAGTATGACACACTTTCAATGCTCTGTTGCACCAAACCTCTTAATTCATTAGTGGACGAAACAAATATTGTTGTGTAGTGATACTATATATATATATATATATTAGGAAGAGAGAGAAAAAAATTTTCAAGTGCAGATTTCAAGGGATGTAAAACTTACCTGACTACCTTGTGGCTTCAGAGACTGAGATCCAACTAAAAATCGAACTTCATCAGACTCTTCGTGACTTATCGCATATCGCAAAATCTCTTGTTCATCTCGATCTTCTTCTACTAGTCGATTGAGGTTTTCAAAGCTGGAATCCTTAAGAGATCCATACAACCCAACTAAACATCGTACATTAGGCTGTGAACAAAAAAAATGAAAAAACTAACAAATAATTGTAGAAGCATAATCGTAAAAATGTTTGCGACATCAAAAAGCTATTCGCTCGAGTAATTATGACGATATTTTTAAAACATATGATGAACTAAAATGGTAATATAAACACAACAATAACTACACTTAAAAGTCGATCTACAGGTTTTATATGACCCCAACCGACTAGTGGTCGTTTCTCTTTATATGTTGCTCACTGATCTTTATTGCAACAAAAACTTGACTGGTCAACCCAACTTAATAATCTAAATGAAGATTATCGATCCCAACGAGCAATTCCGTTCATAAGAGACACTCCAGAATACTTATTACCTGAGACAAATTATTCCATCTGAACTATCAAAGAAAAGTTGACGAAATACGGTTTCGTAGATGTCCATGAGGAGCCCCCACAATATTTGACGTGTTTAACACCTACTATTTGGGAAATACTCCCCAAAGACTAGCAGGTATTTATGTTTATATTGAGGTAGAATGGTAGTGCTGTAAACGCAACACGTGACTAGCTAGTCTTGGTGAACTGACCATGGATCGGAAGCCAGTATATGCCTAAAATATTCGACCGATTTTTACTAATGTTCACCGAGTTACACTAAAAAATTATATCAGAATCATGAAAAATATCCTCTAGAAATAAGAAAGGACTAATTGCTTTCAATTTGTGTTTTTGGAAATCCATGATTTTGTACACTACATCTCTGAGATTCTGGGGGAAATACGATAGGTTTAATATCCATCTGTCGATTCGAGACGTTTCTGTCACATGAGTTAACTTAAACCAAACGACCTATTTCCGGCCCTTTCTGAGGGAAGTAGCGAGTTTCGGTCAGGGAGCTAGCAAGGTTGTTTTTAAGAAGTCTGAGAAAAAGTTTTCTAAATCATGAAATAAAGCGACCGTCGTCTCCATCTTTATAGTCGGTATAATCCGTGTAACGACTAGTGTGGGATAAGTTCACTCTCGATCGTACCTAAATTACTGGAGCAGGTTGTTTTCGACTAGGTCGTGGATTTATTGACCACCATGGTTGTTTAGGGCTAACAACTGTTGTGTTTATTGATATCAAGTGTCTTCTACTTATTGGACAGAACTGCTCTGTAATTGTGTGTTGAAGAGGTGTTTGAGAATTTTGACAACATCCAGAATACTCCGTGCACAAACAACTTAAGCAAAGTGAAGGCATACAACCACCTCTCAATCGTTCTAATTCATAAGTGGGATCGGATAGTCCTGCACGATCCGCTTTATTTTTCAGCTTGTTATTCATGACATTCTGGAAACAGCTCTGAAAGATGGGGCGATAGAGCCTACTCAACCCAAGGGTCTTCTTGGTTGCATTCATAATTCAGCTGTATCTCCTGTTACACACTCTTGGTTTACTGTTTATTTTTTGACCGCACCACGCTTCTCTCCTGTACGCCTTGACATCGTATCTTTATTTGTGTGAAGGATACTTTTTTGGATCCCCAAGTGTACCAGAATATGTATCGGATTAAAATAAATGAAGTCATGTCATCTTAATTGGTGCTTGCTACATACTCCTGGAATGTTATATTAGTTAGGTAGTTACGAGCAATGTAGAACCTGACATGTCTCATGGTTTAAGTCGCCATGCAATATCAGCAAAGTAGAATGGAATTGTCAAGACAAATACTCAAGTTGTAAGTGTAGCATCACAGATAGTAAGGATTGGGAATTTAACGTGTAACAATAATAAAAACATGTAAACTCGTTGATATTAATGAACTTGAAGTCTGAATGAGTGACTTTTTCGAGTAAACGAGATTAAATAACCTTGGTAGACTATACGGTTCAGGGATGAATATCACGATGATGAGCAGAAGGTTTAGTACTAACTATAGTTATAGTGCGAAGTAACTTTGATTTCTAATGAAAACCACGGACTGTATCTAAATAATTCATTTAAATTCTCAAACATGCTGGCCTCGAACAATATTTCTTTGGGAGATCCTGTGGATAGAAAACATATCTACGAGCTGGCTGCATCTAATTATTAAGTAATAACCAGTAAGGAAAGTTGCAATCTCACCTGAACAGCGACTCCTGACGACGGTGCAAAGCTACTTAGCTTCATTTATGGCGGAGAAGTAACGACTTCTTACGGAACAGTCAGTTGGCAGAGGTCCATAGAACAAAGAAGATTCTTTGATACTAAAATGCCAAAAGTGTGAGGAATAAACAAGCAAAGAACAATATAACTATTAAAGAATATAGTACAGTCTGGAACTGGCTCGAGCACTCCCCCCCCTAGATGCTTGATGTCAAATACTCTGTCATCATAGCATAGTTGTACTCTGTCAAAACAGGATTAGTTGGTCTTAATACAACGATTTTCCGTGGTTTTGGTTGTACAGGAGACAACAGAAAGCAATCTTTTGATATAAAATGGAAAGTTCTCTAAATAATTTGAGGATAGTGCGACTCCCCGAGCTCCCCATTTTCGGGAAGCCGCTATAGTAAACTTTGTGAAAAAATGGCACTAAACCCCAAAATTCTCCTTTAACCCTGGTCAAGGTCATTTAACTTTGGGGATTTCCACAAATTCCCCCAGAATTCCCCAAACATTGGTGAGGGTCATTTGACTTCGGGAGTCTCCCCAAAGTACCCCAAAATTTCACCCGAACTTGGGAGCTCGGGTCGGTAGCCAGTATATATTTAGATTACACCTCTCAATTCTAACTACTGATTAATCTTGATTATCACACTATCGAATGTTACCGTTAACAAAACCGTTTAAAATTGACTTTATAGCATATTTGATGTCTGGTTAAGTAGACCCTATGTAGTTTGGTAGGAAACAGACTGAACACGTGATACGGAAATAAATAGGCTATATTATTATTATCATATTTGGGCGAGACTATAAGTTATGAACGAACCAATAAGGTATAAGATAATAGGCGTCGGATATCGGTGCTAAATTCACTCATCCAATCTGGTTAAATAGTTTTAACATTATATCTTATGACAGTTCGTGATAAAAACCCAAAATCTAATTCCTAACCTTAATTACTAACTGTAAAACATAATTCTAATTCCTCACACAGGTTTAGAACCCTCATTTGGTGCCAGATATTAGGTGGACACTCAAGGTCAGTGTAGCTTAGCTCAAAGGTCGTCCATAAATCATAGTCTCACCGAGCAACGCGAGGGCTGGAAAGAGACCGAAGAAAAAGTAGGTCGACAACCTCGCGAGAACACAGTATACTTACATTTACCACGGAAAAAACTACTACGAAGCTGCCCGCCGTTTCGTTTCAACGGCCTTGAACGGCCTGGCAAACGGCGGTCATTCCGTATGTAGCACGTACTATTAGCGTTGATCTGCGAGCAGGAGCG